GGAGAGCAATCGATATGAAGAGCTATTTATATGAAGTCTATTTGTGATCGATTAGGAATTGGTCGCCGTCTCTAACATTATATGTGTACAACTTTTTCTGATTGAAACGCAACAGTTCCGGTCCAATTAAGTCAGACATCTCGCTGTCCACATAAAACACACGCATCCGAGTGGGAGACACTCCGAACATAGACCTGTGTCAACACAACACACCTTTAATACAATTATATTCAATATTGCACTACAATAGCAAACAAACCCCAATTCGCTTTTGAAATCGCCGACAGATTTATTTAAATCTAATTTCAAATCTTTTGTTTGTCTCTTCTCTTGGTCTTCATTTGTCACTTCGTTGTTCTCGTCCTCATTGTAGACCACTTTGACGTCCGCGTGCTTTGGTGGCGAGAAATCCAATTCTGCCAAAGGGTCGACCCTTCCGTGAACTGATATTAAAGCATAGAATCTGTTGGATTTCAATTAACATCAGTATTAATGTCTGCATTTTAGATGAAATTTAGGTATAGAGTGTACTAATGTCTGCATTTGAGATCAAATTTAGGTATAGAGTGTACACAAGAATAATGACTCACTTTTGAGGCTTTTCTTGACTTTCATTGATAACATACCAGCGAAGGAAAGCTTTTTCAGCGAAGACTCTTTCGTCTTCACTGATNAGTATTAATGTCTGCATTTTAGATCAAATTTAGGTATAGAGTGTACACAAGAATAATGACTCACTTTTGAGGCTTTTCTTGACTTTCATTGATAACATACCAGCGAAGGAAAGCTTTTTCAGCGAAGACTCTTTCGTCTTCACTGATATCACTGCCATTAAGGCGTTGAATATTAGGTAATCGTGCGATGAGATGATGGCGTCGACTCTGGCCATCGATATGGTTAAGAATATCAAGTCCTTGACATCGAAGATGAGTTAGTTTTGGCAACTGATTGAGCCTTTCGATGCACTGCCACGACTTGATGGGCCAGTTGCTTATGTTAAGACTCTGCAAATTAGGCAAATAGTTGACGGCCTCCTCAGGAATCAATGATATATTGCAATCAGCCATTGATAGGCCTTCAAGACATGGGAAGGTTCGCATCAGTTTCTTAATGTCCTCCCAATCGCTTAGCTGTGGGTTTCCGCTAATGTATAGGTACTTAAGATTTGGATATTTGTGACCTGAGTTTAACTCAATGGATGAATAATTATTAAGACTGAGGTGTAGGTCATCGACACATGGCATCGAGTCGAGCAGAATGTGTAACGCATTCCACGGGATTCTTGTATTGTTTAGTACAAGACTTTTAATGTTATCAAACCGATGGTTGTCTAGGCTTTCGATATTACAATCGGATAAATCGTTTTCACTTAAGTTTATGAATCTTAAGTTAGGCATCGATCGCGTGATTTTGTAGATTTCCCGCATATCCATAATGCAATTTGAGGCCAAATCCAGTTCCTCTACAGTCGCACATAACTCTCGGATCTTTTTCTCAGAGCCGGCGCTCTTCACACAGCATTTGTTGAGAGATAGAGCCGGAGGAAGGATTAGATGGTTGCCTGAAACACAGACAATATTATAGTCAACCGACACTATTATTCATATAAATGCACAATTGCTATCCAAGTTAATCTAATGAGTAAATACTAAATATTTGCTCTAATTATTTGTGTTAAAATATTTAAATTATTATACAATATGAGACAACACTGAGTGATATTTCATTGCAATGAATCGCATACAGAATTCATGTCCTGACAATGCGCTTAATTCTATGTTTTATCAATTTAAGAGTTGATATTAAGTTTTATTTTATTTTTTAAATAAACTCAAAAGTTTTATAACTTATTAAATGGAGTTTTAAAATAAATCATTAGCGGTAATATGTGAATGAGAATTAGATAAATGCATACAATTTTCTAATCAAATCTTTATCCGGTCCATAGTAATCATTATTGCAATAAATATAATATATTATGTTTTATAATATAAATAAAATCAGGATTAATGGGATTTTTCTAAATTTCAGAAATTAAGTCTTTATTTTATGAGTTTATTATTACATTGTGACCGATATTTACCCCCAATAAATTATCCCTAACAATTAATGAGTTTTAAACTGCTTTCATAGTATCAAATATAATAAATTCAATATAATATAGTATTAAATCTTCAATATCTTAAAGAAAACCATTAGTTATCTATATATAGAAAGTTTACCCATTTTTTAACGTTCAAATCAAATACATTAATAAATTTTTATTATAAATGCTTTCAAAATATTTACAAAATAAGATTAAAATATGTTTCCATAAAAAAGTAATTCTAACAGAATATTAAATATTGAGCAATGTGTTTTTAAATAACAATATAGCAATATTGTTTGTTTTCTAATAGTTATAACTTTCATCCATAAATGTCTTATCCATGATTAAAGTAGAAATTGTCGATTTAATTATAGTTATTTTAAATTATTTTCATTCATCTATAAAACAAATTAAGCAAATCAAATCAACAGCTATATTATGAATCGTTTATTAAATTTTAATATAAATCAATTTTACTGGATAATTAAAAATATGGGCTCAGATTTGTAGATACATTTATAAAAAATTATAAAAATAATAACGGCTATTCTATACAATATAAATAAATGCCAGACTAACTTGTGATTAACAAACAAATCAAAAACAGATCAAATAACTTAGTATTTACTATAGTATTGTATAGAATAAGAATATTGGCATCTTATAAAAATGTAACACTAAAAATAGTTTCAATTTTTTATACAGCAATTCTGGTACTGTATTACTTAAAATTTATTAGTGTTTGGTGTTCAGAAATATGCGTTACGTTTGAATAACTAGAAATTATGGCAATCATCATATTCTCTATACAAATATTCTCAATCTGAATGTCATATACTCCACAACTCTATCGAAATCCCCTTTTATTATTAAATAAACAAACAATGAGTTTATTTATCATTAGTTGGAGTATAAGAATTCAATTCAAAGTCAAATACAACATTCAATGTTACGAGAAAATAAAATATCATATTTTATGAATAACACTGTACTGTAAATTTATGTGTAATCTCTGTTTTATCGGTAATAATAGGGAATAACATATTTAATAATAAATTATACTGTATAGCATTGTATCATTGAAATACTGAACCATTTGTGATAAAACATCACTTTTTAATGTCATTCAAATGCAGACATTTACATGATTTCTAAACTGTTATCCAAATAAATAAAACTAAACTAAAACAGCTCATTTTGAAAATTTGTTGACATATTTGTTGGGCTATTGCCAAAGCTAATAGGGTTATGTTCATTTCCTATGAGCCTAGACATAAATAGGCCCATGAGGTGCAAGGACAATCTACCAGTATGTTTACAAGGCAAAAATGATCAATGCATATTAATTTCTAAAATAAAAAGGGGCAATTGAATGTATTGAGTTTATACAACCACTTTCATATTGTATATATTTTAGTAACTATCTATATTATAATTAAATATTTTAATTAAAAAATATGAAAGAAATTCAATTAAAAATGCATTTATAAGCAAATTCTATCATAAGTATACCATTCATTCAATATTAGATCATTTGATTGAATGCTAATATAATGAGAGTTTTGAGTTATAGTCGACTCACAAATCACTCTCATATGTAAGATATGTGAGAAAATCTGGATTTAAAAAAATAAAGGGAAAGCTTTGCAAAGGATATTGAAGTGAATAAATAGAGCACTAAAATGACGTTAATATGTATGATATGATCGACTCGTATGAATGCATCACTACTTGCGATACAATCAAAATGCAATGCTTTGCATAGAAAACATAGAAAACATCATAAAATAATGAATCATTAAAACAAATACTCATGTGATGTGATTGAATGGAAATAAAAATCATATGATTTGCAAATGCAATGCAATTGGTATATAAAGGTACACAAAGGTGTATAACTGTATGGCACAAATACCTTGCTTATTTCCGGGTGAGACGCCTCCCACGACAAACACCTCGTAGGGACAGTCGTCTAACTGGTAGTCACTATACCTCTGAAGCAAAACGTCAACAAATGTCTTGAAAGACATAATTGAGTGCAAAGACAGACAATTGTTTTGTTATGAAAACATTGAACGCAATAAACCATACATTAGTCCATACGTCGAGGACTCATGAAAATGCATTTGTGGTCCAATTGTGTCCAATATATTTGCAAAACACTTCATATGATATACATTTCATTTGCAAATACACTATAAATGCATGTTTGCAACTAAAGTACGATTAAAACTCATTTCAAATCAATTGTTTGCAAAATACGTTTTCATTTGAATCACTAAAATGTAGTCTTTTTCTGGTTTTCACTTAAATCTCATTATTTCTCTTATTTTTATTTCGCGTAATGTTTATAACGCTATCAAAGCAGCTGTTTGTCAGGTATTACACAAATTACGACAATTCACACCACTTTGACAAACATTGCGTTCACTTTAC